GAATCTGGGAAATAGAATCCAGATGTTGCACACTCAGCACACACACAGCCCCCCCTGGTCTTGGCATTGTCAGGAGACATCAGAACACGCCGGCCCCTTTGATGCCATGGCACACCTGGCCGCCAAGTGTCTGACCGCGGCCTCCTCCCACCTTTACACTGTCCAGATACTTTGTTGTGCAACCAGAAGAGCAACGTGGAGCGGCTCTTCCATTACAATGCAGAAACCAGGCTGCCTGTCAATGTGAGAATTCCTGAGATGTGATACATACGGGATCCAGTAACGCGGAGAGTTTGGGGGACACATCGGAGGCGCATGTGCAGCCAGAACTCTAATACTTCGCTCTACATCCCAACTGAACTTCCATTATATTATAAGGTGTGCAAAGTCTCACAGTTTGTTTGCTGTAGGAAGCAGCCACAGCCTGAGTAGAGAAGCCTGTGTACTGCCAGCATCCTGCAGAGGAGGACCCTTGCTCTATGTCTGGAAGCAGCACTCTCTCTGCAGAGGTCTGAAATACGTCCTGAGGCAGTGGCGTCGCAAGGGGGGTGTGGGGGGTGCAGCCCACACCCGGGTAACACCATTGCAGGGGTGACACCAAAATGACTGACAGTCATTTTGGTGTCACCCCCTCTAAAAGGTCGGGCACTGGGTCATGGACCGAGAGCCCGACAGTGTCAGGAGAGAGGAGGGGACCCAGCGGCATACCTCAAGAGAGAGAGGAAAGAAAAGAGATAGGAAAGGGAAAAATAAAGAGAGGTAGAGAGATAGGGGGAGAGAGGGAGGGAAGAAAGAGAGGGAGAGGAAACTCAGGAAAGAGAGTGAGGAGAGGGGCAGGAGAGAGAAAGAGAGAGGAGAGAGAGGGAAGAGAGAGAAAAAGGGAGAGTGAGGGAGGAGATAGAGTGAGGAGAGAGAAAAGAGATAGAAACAGAGAAGAGAGAGGAGAAAGTAGAGAGACAGAGAGAGAGAAAGAAAGAGAAGAGAGGAGGAGAGTGAAAAGAGAGAGAGATAAAGGAGGGAAAGGCGGGAAGAGAGGGAGGAGAGAGTGTAGCGAGAGATAGAGGAGATAGAGTGAGGGAGGAAGGAGAGAGGGGAGTGAGGGAGGGGAGAATCAAATAGAGACTCATTACAGCACCTGGGACATGGGGAGAGATTCACCAGCATGCTGAGACTCCGCCATCATTGGTTCAGCTGTATGATCAGCCAATTGTTTGGTGGGATGGGGAAGAATTAGAGGGGTGCAGGTCTTCCCCAATTCTACTAAAGAAAAGCATTTTACTCTCAGTGTTGCTGTTGGTGAAATCATTATTAATGTCACAGGAAGTGAGGGCAAATCTCTGGAAGCCCTGGATACTGGTGGAAACCCAATAGGGGTTCTAATCTTTCCTCTCTGTCCAAAATAAAATAAAAAAGTTTTGGCTGAACATTCACTTTACTGACTTCCTTCATGCGGAAACAATGTAACATTCCGATCTGTGGTACTGACGCAGGAAATGCGTGCTGCGTTATGTGTCCTGCGCTGACCTGCGTTCATCATATTGAGGAGGAGACTGACAGCTGATGGTCGGTCGGTGTCGGAGACGGGTATACAGGTCCTCTTCACGCTTCCTCTGATGGACTGTATTCCTTGTACTGGGTGCTGAACCTGATATTTGTCTTCTTGTATCTCCAGCGAAGAACTTGAAGGGCTAGAATTTCATTACATGTACTTTGCTGCCATCTAGTGGTGAGCGGGAAGAACTACAATGTATCATATTAAATGTATCAATGTGACTAAAGACTACAATGTATCGGATTAAAGTGTAACTAAGTACAAACATGTAACATTGTTTTATTATCATTTGATCCTGCAAATAGGCACGCTATTTTTCCACTTCCTTTACCAGGATGACAACACTGTTCATTGCAGTAAATTCACAGCAGCGTAGTCAGTGACAGAGGATAGTTTTAAGTCTGTTTCGTTGTCCGGCTTCCCGGGCATTGGTCGGCTTTCTGGAATTTGTCCTCGGGCCATATTTACATATTGTTGTAAGCACCCAGCGTAGTAGTCATTCATCTACCTACCCGATAAAAGATTGAACTTAAAGCCAGGGGCGTCCCGAGGCTGGGTGACACCAGGAGCGGAGACCGGATGACAACCCACCGTGACGTCATTGTGCATGCGTGGTCGTCTAATTGATACGTGCCGGCGGCCATCTTGGTGATGGACACCGGCAGAGAGAGGAGGGGACGTTCAACCGGCAGGATGAGGTATGCCTCCGGGTCTCCTCCCCTCTCCCGACACTCTTGGGATCTCAGTCCGTGACCGAGTGCCCGACTATTCATAGGGGGTGAGACCAAAATGACTGTCAGTCATTTTGGTGTCACCCCTCCAATGGTGGCACTTGGGTGCGGACCCCCCCCCTGCACCCCCCTTGTGACGCCACTGACTGGATGGACAGAAATACAAATCATTTGGCAGGTATAGGAGGCCTCATAGACGTATTTAGCTGTTTGGAGTTCAGCTTGCAATCAGGAACCTCGGTGCTCCCGGTGGCTGATGCATGATTCAGCCAATGCCGATGGCCCAGAAACCGTGACCCCTTTCCTCCCGACAAGCCACCTCACTTCCTGCTCTACGAATCCTCCACTTCCTGTGTCATCTAATCCAGCTGACCTCTAGTGGGGCATGAAAACTCCATGAGTGTTTTAAAGGAAGTTTTCATGCAGTTTTACTGAAACTCGGCTGAATATGGTAATGAGATAGAATGAAGTTTCCCAGATGTATCCACAAGAGTCCCTCGAAGACAAAACCTGGTCACTGCCATAGACTGAGCCACACTGGAGTGACCCCGGGGGCCAATCATTCCCATATTGGCCAATCCTGTATGTGCTGTGTCCGGGTGTGAGGCCAGCTGAAACCCCGACATAAGATGTCACGATGTCAGGTGTACAGGGGCAACCAGAGGGTCCTGGTGTTCCAAGTTGAGTGCATGGAGGAGGCACGGGACACAGAGAGATGCTAGAACTTGAGGAGTAAGAAGGCGTCTGAAACACAGGGTGCAGATAAGTCTTAAAGGGCCCAGAGGTTCTACTTCAGGCAGATGTGTTGCTCACTATCTCTCCTCTCTCTCTATCCTGGCTGTCTCTCCTCTCTCTCTCCTGGCTGTCTCTCCTCTCTCTCTCCTGGCTGTCTCTCCTCTCTCTCTCCTCGCTCCACATACAGTATATACATATAATACTAAAGCTGAGTCTCCCAGACCCAAATGGCATGTGGGATCCGAATTTCCGAATTGCATTGGTGAGTCCCCCGAATGCCATTGGGGTCTGGGAGCCATATACATATATTACTAAAGCTCCCAGACCCCAGTGGGATTCAGGAGCTCCCCAATGCGATTCGGAAATTTGGATCCCACATGCCATTTGGGTCTGGGAGCCTCAGCTTTAGTATTAATATCTGCAGAGGGCTTTCTGTGGTATTCACACCAAATATTCATAAACTCATCCGAAACTGATGAAAATTCGGATTTCGTCCTAATCCGAACCGAATTGAATATCGGATCCGAATCCCAAATTCCAAAATAACGAAATTTACCAACCGAACTGTATTTTCCCGCAGCTTACATGTCTACCATGAACCATCTACTCATCTGGACGAATGGGAACCTTCACAGACATAGAGGATCATGTGATCCAGCACAGTATCTCCAACCAAGCTTACCAGGCGCCGTACCAACTATCCAACGTATGGAGCCGCCATGAATGAAATCATCCGAAATTGCAAACCAGCACGCTGGCCTGTCACAGAGTCACAATGTGATGATTTGAGGGTCACTTGTTGCCTTGATGAAGGGGTCCTCTGAGGCCCCCGAGATGTTGCGCTATGACAGTACATGGTTCCCTTCTTGCTTATGTTGGTGCGATACTTTGTAGTTTTGGACGATCGGCTTTACAGAGATATTCATATCATAAATAATGTGTCTGGCTTACAAAGTATGTCATTTATGCAAATATGGTTTAATAGCAATGGAAAGCTTCTTGTGACAAATAACACACACACACACTTGTAAACAGTCATTGAAGGGCACATTTTATGTGATATTGGAGGGTTGCAGAGGGAAATCCGTCAAGGCCAGG